TACCTACTTTATATTATAACAAAACATCGTACCTACATCGGTGATTTCCGGGGATCTTTGCTAACTTAGGGATTTGGATGCCTGGAAGCGTGTTTTCGACGTGAGCGCGATTATTCGCAATGCCCAATTTCAGCGCATTAATCAAAAATCCAAGTGACTTTAAAAGTCAACCTCAAATGACCTGATAGTATGTTAGTAGTTTGGGTTAAACACGTTCCAAACGGGGACTCCCTTAAATTATATACAAGTATTCAATATTTTCGAGATGGTAACCCAATAAATAATTATAGCAATAGTAACAATTAGTCGACAATAAACCTCCAAAGGGGTCGCGTGACATCTAGATCGACGACAGCTGGTATACAATATGGTAACATGGTATACACTATACATCCGTGGCGGAGAACGATTCTGTAAATTTGTATTTAAAAGTAAGTGCGGGTTTCAAAATCTATACGCGATTCCGAAATTTTGTGGAATAGCGTTGTAGCCGCGGTTAACAAGACGATATAATAATCTTATAATATTATGTGACCATCGAAATCGTACACAGAAAACTGGGTCGACTACGGCGTATCGAAAAATATGCCACTCGAATCGCTAAACCGTATTATTATTTCACACCGCCGTTAATCTTTATTATTTCGGTCAACGGCTCGATCTGACGCGCGCGGGAGTTTTACGGGCTGAAAAGTTTTTTCATTATTACAATTTATCCCGCCGGCGTTTGTGAAAAGTCTCTGTGGTTTAGACGTGGCGGCGGACGATAATTTGAACGGTGCCAGTTTTCGTTCTTTCGAAAGTGGAAAAATTTACTGCGGAAACACGCGCGCGCCGAACGACAACTTGTTCAAAACGGTTATGGTTATTTTACGTCAAATTTATGTGTCATCGCGAAACGAAAGTGTGCTTGCACGTTGCTGCATTAGGTAGAATAATATTATGTGATTGTATATGCGTATAGTGATAATAATAATAATAATAATAACGAATCGAGGTTGAATGAAATTGGATTTCCGTCGATATATTTCGAGTGCTTGCCGCTTACCGTTTTCTCGGAATAGAAAGAATAACGCTCGCGCAATAAAATAAAAGTATACGCATTATATTGTCTGCTAGCTATTTCTTTTTACCGCGTTTAATCGAATGAAAACCTTTGAATGACTTTTAAAAGTTTTCGCAGTTCAGCGACAGAGTGGGCACGACGATTTTCACCCGGTTTCCCTTTACCCCTATAATATATACACCGTGCAGGGTGATTTACCATGCATGCTCACACACCGCTTTTATTATTTAATAATGCGCTTGTTCAAATTCGGACTTCTGGAATTTTTAAAGACCATACTTTCAGGTGCTTAGGTTTATGTTTAAGAAGTTTCCATTGGTGATACAGCTTTTTTTTCAATTTTAACCATCCTGATGAAAATCTTGATGCATCTTAATTCTTAGTATACATTTGAAGTGTTTAACTTAAAGCTGAGTAATTTAACTTAATGCAGTATCAATATAAATCCTTTCTTATTGCCTCGCGTCAAATATATAATATATATTGTTATATCTAGTCTTGTACTTATTATCTAGTTACTTATCTAGATATTTTGTTATCATTACCCCCATAATTTTTAATCTATTAGCGTGCGGACTATAAAGAACATAAAGTTTAATAATAATTCAGAAACTAAAATATTGAATCACGGTACATCATAATTTAAAAAAAAAATGATCTGATTACAGTTTAAAGTAAAAATACTGTTCTCATTTGGAAAAAAGAAGTTCTGTTCGCCTCAGGACTCTCCATAAATGGCATAATAGTTTAAGTGTTTGAAAATATGGTCTTCAAATGGTACCTTATATTTATAAATTCTAAAGTTCAGAATTTCTATGGATGCTATATATACATAACTGTAGCATTATTGCCTTATCAATATGACGTGTAGTTCATGCACATTCAGCGTACCTGTCAAATTTATATCAAACGAAAATTGTATTATAAAAGTACAAGATATTAAATCTTACAAATAAGATACCGATAAAAGCATTTGAATGTTTTTACAAAAATAGTAAACAACATTGCTTTATGTAGGTACATCAAAAATCGTATTAACCTGCGGTGACTGGTTTATTACAAAAACTATAATACTGTAATACTTTATGTTTTTGGTTTTGAATTAGTAATGGTTTTTACTTTTTTAGTTATAATTCCTGTAATATAGGGTAAATAGTGATGATGTTTGACATTATTTAATATTGTAGGTTATTGTATAAGTATGTGCATAGTTATTCGTTTGAAACTTGTGCCTTGTATAACTATGGTACCTAACCTTCTGTACTATAATTTACCGATCCTACACTGTAGGGTACCATAATAAAATATCAACTGTGTTATTGTTAACATTATTAATCTTGTTATTGTGACAATCGTATCATTCCTGCTGAAGAAAAACCCGTTTTTTCGTTGTATCGACTATTATTCATAAACCCAAAACGCTAGAGTGTTGGTACCTAATATATCATATAGGTACCTATATAATGTACCTAGTTAACATTAACGAGACCCGTATAAAAAGAGTGGTTACCTTACGTCGCGGAGTTTGAAATCCGTTTTACGATACGTTCTCCTAATATTCCTGTACTCGTATTATGTGATTCGGACCCCACCGGCCACCACAACCCTAATTGAATTTCATTAACGATGGATAACACTTTTTTTATGGCGTTTTTCACCGGCCTGTGAACTGTAAAACATTGCTGCTATTAGGCCTACACACACATACACACACATACGCACACGCACACACACGAAAATACAACTCTCGACGTGCAGTAGCGGTACCTGTACGTTTTTAATTTCCGTCCGTGTCGATACGGCTGCAAACACGTAGGTACGACAAGAGATTAAGATTAAAATAATATATACCACAATATTATACATTTTCAACCCATAAAACTCGTTTATCGAAATATTCCACTCGTGATTTTAGTATATTCAAGTTGTCGTGTTATACGTTTCAACGACCTGTACGCGGCGCGGTTTATATAAATATATATATACCTATATATATAACGTATCTATATCATGTACTGTGTATTTCGGTGATTTGATCGCGGCGTGTAATTTAATACAATATAATATAAAATATTATGTGAATCTGGTACGAGTGTTGTATAATCAAGTATCTCATAATACCGAATTTATAATAAAAATCAAGTGTTATAAAAGTAAATAAATAAAGGTAAACGATAACATTTTCAATCATAATTTAAAAATCACTAAGTACATATAATTGTGTTATAATATGCTATAAAAATAATATTTATCGTAATATATGTATACCTATATGTATGATTGTATAATGTGGATATTGATTTGGGCTGAAAGAAAAATGTATTTCCATCAGACAATGAATTATTGACAGAACTAAAATTGTATTGCATATATTATATTTCATTAAAACCGTATATCATCTTTATAACATTCAGTATTATAGGTATAAGACATATGATTGTAACACTGCTCAAATTTTGCTGGTGAGTCGACAGTTTATATATTTTTTTTATACGTTCGATAACTCGATTTGTGAGTGTTGATTACGAGCTCCGAAATATATATGAAATATAAAAGGCTCTCGTTAGGGGTGTTTGGAAAAAATAAAGAAAAAATAAAACCGTACGCTTTACACGCCATAAGTTCGCCGTCACTGGGTACTATATATATAACGTGCACACACACATAAATTCTATACATATGTGCCAATCAAATAAATCGTTAAGTCGTCGGGTTCGTCAGTTTCCGACGACGGTGGTTTGGCCGATATACGGACGAGCGAAGTCGCCGGGTCGTTTGACACAATTATTTAGGTTAAGACCGGCGTTTCGTCTCTATATAAATATTATAATACGAGCTATGTGCTCTGTCTCTGTCTTTGTCTCTGTCTCTCTCTCTCTGTCTCTCTTTTAAGCGTACCTATATAATAATAATAAATTATTATATGTACGATCTATTCATTAATAATAATAAAAATGATATACGAAGATGAAATAATATACACGATAGATTGAACGTCCGACGCCGTTAATTGGGGCCACTCGATTTGGGTCTTCGCACGTCGTGTTTACATCTCGATATAATAAACAACTTCGATTGTACTATTTCGTGCTCCGAACAAGTAGGCATGATATTATTTTATTCTCTTGTCCGTCAGAGGCTTATTAAAAATATACCTTCATGATTATATACGGCGTGTGCAGCGTGAAATGGGTTTTGATCCGCATAATATACGTATATAATATAGATATACGCCTTATAATATTATATAGGTACAGACACGCCCATCTCCGACTCGGCTAAACGATATAATAATATTATTATTATAATATTATGTAATATGCATATAAAACGCGCGCGCATAAACGTAGAAAATATCAATGAAATGATAAATTATTAGCTCTCGATTTATTATGGGCCGCGGATACGAGTGGTTCTCGTTAAGAAAAATAAATTAAAATATATGTACACGCAGTTACTCACCGGTTACTATATTATAATATTATATACCTAGGTACATAATATATTATACGATAAAATGTGTTTGTATATTATTATGTGCGGTGGAAGATAAAAAAAAAATCGTATTTATTAATGGCAACGTAAACGTATTGTACGCTCACTGCAGTGGGTCGAATGCGCGTGCGTGTGTAGTTATCGTATGTGTCGTGTATGAGGTTAGTGTGGGAAGTCGTCCTGGCCCACTGGTTCTCTCAATGAACTTTATTGACGGCGGCTCGACCATTCGTGTCGGGTACGCGTCAATGAACGCACCGCAGTCACAGTCGTCGTCGTCGTCTTCGCAGTCGGTGGTTTTTCGTTTCGCGGGCGCGTAGTGCGTAAAATATTTTTGTACAAATCGCTTTTCGATGACAACTTTAACTCTATATAAACGATAAAAACAGTGCGAATTATATTATACGAGTTATTATTATTGCTGTTCACCGCGTTCGACATGATAACCAAGAGCGGAGTAGGAGGAGGAGCACGTCGCCCGCTGAAGAGTGGCGGCAGCAGAGGAGGCCATCCGAGGCCCGTCAGCAGCGGTCTAAGTTTCAGCGTGCTCGGTACGTCATCCTCGTCGGTACACGATGTATATGATAAATTCAATATGCAGCTTGGTACATAATACATTATCGTGTACCCTTTAACTAGGGTTTATGACCTTAAAATCTAAAAAATGCATGGAAATTTGATCAAAAAATATTTAAGTATGCCCTGCTTAAGCAATTACATATGACATAGTCAAATGAATTGAATAATATTCTATTATTCTGGCGCCTGCTTTTTTTATTTCACTTTTGATTGAATTCTAAAAAAAAAATCAATTCAAGTCATAGTCGTAGGTAGGTTATAGCTATTTATATATATTTACATCTATCAGCTTCAGTGCTTTGGGTTCAACTTTGGAGGCAAGAATACATATATTGTTTGTACTACCACCGAAATGTTAACCTTGACCGCCGGGGTATAGACCGCGCTACCGCTGCACCGAGGAAAAACGGTGTATAGTTTGAATTATTATTTTTATTTTCGCATCGATCGCATGTTGTTATAACTATGTTCGTGTCGTAGCATAATCATTGTACAATAAGGTAGATAATATTAAAGTATTTCAAAGGTATTATATTATAGGCAGATATTATACGTACCTATTACCTCAGTGTACAATATTGTCAAATCCCTCAACCACCCCGCTCACATAAATATATTATATCGCCAGACCGGGGGACGCTGGTTGGAGAAGATTTTTTCTTAAAAGAAATTCGTAAATTATAATATAATATCACACCGGTGAAACGTATACACGAATAATATAATGTTGAATATATATATTTATGTATGTGTGCGCGCGCGAAACTAGTTCTCGTCACAGCCAGACGAGAGCATCCGCCACGCCGGTCGAAATCATTCATTCCGAAGTCACACCGCGTGCCACATCGTATTATATACAGACGACCACCATATAATATTATATGTATATCCATTAATTCAGCGTTTGGTAATGTATAATAAGCTATATATTATAGATGTACTCGTTACTCTAACGACTTCACTATGCAGTAACGCCATAATATTATAGTGATTTGAGTATTATTTTTTGTCATGCTCGTTTCTATAATGCGTTATTTTAATGTTGCCCAATAAACCAGAAACCATATAATAATGCGTGTAATATGTCATATTTTAGTTTTTAAACAGTCATTGAAAAAAGATAAAAATCTAACTTTTTAGATATCTGCGCAGTTTTTATATCAATCGATAAAATTCTATTCCGAAAGAAATATGTAATATTTTTAGAAAGTTTTTGACTCTGAAATATGTATATTCGATTAAAATATTGTTTTCTAGAAAAAATTTAGATATGAATTCGGTATAAACAATAAATATATAAAAAAAATCTCGTGTATATAGTTCTATAATTCCATTTAAAATGCATTACTTTTTAGTTTTATCTACATGATAACATAATACATATTATGTGTGACGTGCTTAACGTGTTATTTTGTATTTTTTAAACAAGTAACAGAGAAGTAATTTCGATAACTTTTTTACTTTGTAACGGTATACTAATTTCGACAGGACAGGTGTTCGTCTAATATATGTTATTATCATATTGTACTCCTCAATGACATTGTCTTTCTATACGCCGATCGACGCCTATATCGATCCCTAAATCCCTTGTGAAGTACCATATTATATTATTACAATTCGTTTTCGTTATTCGATCCTGTGTTTCTGCAGGTCTGTGTGTACGAAAGTAAACATATTATATGCCTGGCTGTAACTGCAGTGTATATATTATGAGCTTACGATGTCTTGTATATATATATATTTATATCTGCGGTCGTGTTTTAAGTAATTGCCGAAACGCCTCTGGGGCAGTTGGAAATTTTGAATCTGTTTTTTATTGCTGCGCGTCCCGAAAACGATTTATGACCGTACGCAAGAAGACGACGGACCATATGTGACGACGTCGCCGCTCCCACATCGATCGCCGTTACTCATACCACGGTCCCGGTATCTATAATATTATGTCTATGTAGGCTGCAGAGTCGCGTGTATATACGATTACTTTTTTAAGCGAACCCGTCCCCGCACCTCCCCACCCCCTCCCCCGACTGTAGCAAGTATACGTAAGTCACGGCCAAACGATTTCGGTTTTCGGAGCGTTTATGTGTGCGTTGAAGCAATCGTTTTACGTGCGATCGATTTTTTTATATTTAATAAAAAGGGCAAAAGAAATAAAAAAAAAACAACCCACTTCCGATATAAACGCAGCCGTTGTTGTTCGTCCCGGGGCTGCGGATTATACTTGGTAAAGGCGCGTGGGAAACCGTCTGCGACTGTGGGAACGATTATACGTCGGCGGCAGAGAGGAGGGGGCGGGTGTCCTTACGACTGTTGTAGTACGTATATATTTAATATACAATACGCAATCTTAAACATTATGCGGTTCCGTCATTGAGTGGTTGTGGTAGTCCAGTAAAATGCGAAATGCCCGGCGTATGAAGTCGGATTTCCACAATACGGTAGAGTTGAATGTGTTTAACTTTTAGGTTAGTAGTAGTAGTGTATTATACCGACATTTTGTTGTCAACGTATTAAATATAGGTGCGGAACACCGTACAGTATACGACACGGTGAAGTTTCTAACCCGGCTTAAATATTCAGCTCTTTACGACTAGTAAAATGGTCACACCATCACCACGTGTACCCGTAACCGCGGTAACGGCATCAAAATAAGAATACCGATTACCGACTGTAGTTGATGCCGTCGCGATGCAGTGATAATAATAATTACATTATATATGAACAGATTTAGGTTGACCACGTGCAGTGGCGGTCGCGACAATTTATTATTTTATTTTGGGGAGGGGAGCAAAGAAATGAGTATCGTCGGACTAGCGCCAGACAGTCGGACGGGACGAAGATTTTCTTACGCCCACACGACTGGGCCAAAACCGGTGTAAGTAAATATTAAGTATATAGTGTATAAAAACCGGATTCGAGAGGTTGTTTTAATCTCGTCCGTCCGTCCACCTCACCACCACTACCACAGTTGTGAATGAACTCCTCAATACAGTATTTTTGTTATTATTGTTGTTGTTGTTGTTGTTTTCACCTGCTTCGTCTGATTATGATGCATTCGGACAGTCACGAGCAAAGACTACGACCATCGAGATAGAAAATATTATAATGACTCCTTCGTCGTGTGTACTCATTTGGTATTATATTACACACTCATGTCTACGGGTTTAATATAATACTATAGAGGTGTGAAAACTATTTATTCGTTCCGGTGAAGCGCGCTTTCTAAAGTAATAGTAATAACTATAGTTATAAATAATTATATCCGCTGAAAAAAATTAGCGTTCCGGAGGGTAGTTTTCACGACGGTGCCCCGCACTACGTGACGAACGCAAATTTCGCTAAAACCGCCGCCTCTTAAATGTTAAAGCGTATTAATATTATAGGTATTAATGTCAGTGTACCGCGATAACCATATCATCTAATAACGGTTTTGGTTTTTGGTTTTTCAGATTTGGCCGCTATACGGAAGTTATTGGAAGAAGGCGATGGCGACGAGACGTGCCCCAGCTGCGGCATGCCTTTCGACAAGGGCAAAAAGAGAAAGCTCATCGACTCTTGCGGACACGAACGTTGTTACGCGTGCATGTTCCGCAACGAGGGTTGTCCGCTGTGCGCCACCGTGGCGACCGCCGAAGAAGGCTCGACAAAAGGTATTCTAGACTTTTTTTTTTTTAAATACATATTATATATTATTATTATTGATTTTGGTCTATATTACACGTCAAATTTGAACGGTACCTACTGCAGTTGCGTGCGCCTGCACGACTTGTCCTTCGTAATCCCGGTGCAAAAATAAAACGGTCGGCGCCGACTAAATTAAATTATGATTATAATTTAAGCTTTTTTTATGAAAATTCTATCGGCTTTATTAGTCTATTCATATACTTGAATTTTTTTTTTTAAGCTGATTCATTATTGGTAAGTCGTTTGCATCGTCGTTACCAAATTACTACTTTTGTTCTTTAACGGACGTGTTGCAGAGAGTTCTTTTTCTTTTTTTTCCTTCTTTAATTTACATTTCAATTCATTAATTAAACGACAAATTTCATCAGATATTTACTAATTTATTTCGACATGTACTATCCTTCTACGTTGGGAAATAGAATTGCGACTTTTGATTCTTAAAATATCGACTGAATTTAAGAAAGACTGTATTTAATAAAGTTTATCCACTTTAAAAGTTCAAAGAATATAAAAAAAACAACAACCGCCAATAACCGTTCAAAGTATACACCGGATGCTTCAAACGACCTCTTCATGGAAACCGTTTAAATGAAATCAGGGTTTAGGAATTTTATAATTTCGTAAAGTACTTTGTTTTTATTTTTTTTTTCGGAAGTATAAGTCAATATCAAATGCTTACTAAGGAAAGTCTGATAAAAAAAATAATAGCCATATATTTTGCTGTTGGGGTGCCCCTTAATAATATTATTTAATCGGTTATATTAAATTTGATTTTGTAAATGAAAAATAATATGGTGAAGTAAACATACAAATAATATAATAAACTAACAACTAATAATATTGTAATAAAGACTGCCTCGGTAAACATTCTCTTTACAAAACACTCGTTTTTAACCTACCCAAAAACACAAATTCGCGTTTATTCAGTTTATTGTATATCAATGTATTTTCTCTTCAAATAACAAAAATAAATTACAAAATATAGAAAATAAAACATTTATGTTGTGATAAATATTGAAGTGAGTACTTGTATATAATATATTGGTATGAAAAGAAAAAAGAGATATTGAGTATATTATTATATATATATTTTTTCGATCATTTATAAATTGTTATTATTATTATTAGTAGTAGTAGGTAGTGTATTATAGTAAAATAAAGAGTTGTGAACGCATGATTACTTTAATAACACACGTATTAAAACTTTCACGATGAACAAAGTTTTGTTTATATTTTGTTTTTAACAGTATAAAATACAAAGGTTTAAAAATGTTTTCATTTTCGTCGAAATACTCGGAAAAATAATTTTAATTGAAAATTAAAAAGTTTTATTTCAAAGAGGTTCTATACAAAGGCTACCTAGTAGAAGTTTTTAATTATGTATAGTACATTGAAGTTCATGTTGTAATATTATAAATTCGAACATATATATATATGTATACCATAATACAGGTACCAGGTTTATATAGTTTGAATCGGTTTTGTTGCCGCCCATATGTGTTTTGTCGTACACAACGTGTAAAATATAATACGTTTATATAGTTATATTATATATTATTTTTTTTTTAAATTATCATTTGGTGAAGCACGGTATTGTTGAGTTTTTATTCAACACGGCTACTGTAGTGGTTCCCACGATATTCGGTAAAGCTATATACATATATAGGTACCTACTGTATGCGCCACGCGGCGTCGCCGTTGTCGTCTCTATGATAATTGTCGGAAGTCGAAAACAAAAAATAGACAGTGAATCAAAACGAAATAAATATATTTTTAATTGAAGTCGAACAAATTATCTGAAATCGCGGTGGTTAATATTTTTTTTCCCCGCTTGTTAGTCATGGTTGCTTAACGTGTATATTATATTATATATTTAAACTGTCGCCACGCGTATACCGTATAGCTGTATATACCGTCTTGACGGAAGTTTTCCGCGCGTGTAGAATACCAAACAACTTATATAATATTTGTTTCCTTTCTCTGTACAGCTTCCAAGAAATCATTGACCGATGAGCCGATATACGTGCAAAACACACGAATCAACAGACCAAGGGTCAAGACTAACGGACACTTTTCGCCCTACGTCCAAGTAATCACTCAACCACGCTATTTCAATAATAATTGAAATAATATTATGTGTGTGTGTATACAGTTACTTATTACTGTTTGTTGTTTTTGTTTATTTTAGTCGAGACAAGGTTCACAGGAACTCAGTCATTCGCCCAGTAGGCTTCCCAGACCCAACAGGAACTTGGACGAAGTTATGACTCAAAGTGAGTTGGCGAAAAAAAAAATTATGAAAATTATTTTGGCGTCATTGATTAATTTTTTTCATTATTTTTGTCATTAGGCTGTCCAACTCCTCCGCAGAGCAGAAGAAAATTTTTTCTCAGCCCGAAAACCATACGAAACCAATGGTCCATGCGCAGTGGATCCAGGTCGCCTTCGGACAACGCACTCTCCGGTAAGTTTTTTTTTTTATAATGGACCTTTATAATAATATAATATATAAGCTATGTATACACACTTAATATAACACGGTTTGTATTAAATGCATTATGGAATTCAGTAATGTCAGCGTCGACATCAACAGTAACTTCTACGGATCAGCGGCGATGGTCTTCGGTGGTGTTGGGCAAGATTAGATCTCTGTGGTCGTTGAGAGGTTTGTTAGGTTCTAAAAATGAAATGTTTTTGTATGTCGTTGGCCGTGTGTGCACTTAAGCTTATTAGAAAACACTTTATTAACATTATGTCACCGTAGTTAAACCGTTGAATGTGCTCTGCAATTGAGAGTTAACCAAAATGTTTTGTTGAAAACAAGGTCAAATCAATAAATTTGATTTTATTACTGTATATTAACTATATATTACATACAAAATTTGGTGGTCATATGGGTCTTGCTCTCCGAATTTCGACTATGTATTCTTCGATGAAAAAAACCACTCGAAGAAAATCTGCGAGTATAAAACAATTGAGCTTCGGTGATCTATTATATTCACGATTCATTTGGTCCTCTGGGACGTTTAGTTCGATTCTATATATAGTCGGCCGAGTTTTGTTTCGCAGACTTTTAGTGAAATGTTTTTTGGAATCAGATCAGACGAGTAAAATCAATACACTACCATTAACTAATTATACCTGTAAAATTATTGCGACTTCAGAAGCAAGTATATATACACTACAGCGAAGATGAGGGAAATAACATGCGTATGTGTAAAAGAAAAGCCTCAAATATGAAAATCACCTATTTTTGTCTTGTGTTCATTTATGTTTGTTTTTATATTTGTAATTGCATGGACACGGATATTATAGCTTTGTGCACCTATTTGTTTTAACTCAATTCTGTTTTTGATCGGAAATTGAATCTGTTAAAATAACAATAAATTAACCGTTCCTCGTTTTGTATACTGCAGACGATGAAGGTGGAAACGTGAAACCGCGAGGATCGTTGAACCAGAGGAGTTGCAACTCGGACACTCTGTACACAAGACTAGGATTGCTGTTGTCGAGAGACAGCAATTCCAGATCATTTACGGAGGACGTGTCATTGTCGAGCATCAACTCTAAGCCGGTGTCGAGCAATGGGAGCCCCGTGTCCACGCTCACGGGGTCCTCGGAGACCGAACACAAAGCTATCAAAGAACAATCGTCTGACAGCATCGGATCTCTCATGTCCATGTCCGGACAGAGCAACGGTTCGTGTAGCCCTCTGACCAGAAGACATTCTGTTACGAGTGAGTTGAATTTTAATATGGAATAAAAACGCTTATATTGTTTAAAATTTAAATACTAAATAGTAAATAGGTACTAATAACTTCTGAAGGGTTCAGATTTTAGGGCAATATCATTTCTTAAAATAAAATGCATTGATAAATGTATACGAAATACATTAAGTACTTAGTTTAAGTGTTTTTTTTTTTTACAAAAAAAAAAAATGTTGGAACTTGAAATTATTGTTATCAACTCTTGAACTCTCAAATCTGAACCCATTATTTTTCCTAATATAATTACGTAAATATAATTTATCGAATGACGTTTTTTTCAACGTCCGACGTGGTTTTGAATTACTTTAAAATTATAAATATATATTATATACTCACCACGCTTCGGCTTTTGTTCTAACAGCGATTTTATATTGTGCGTGTGCGTGATTGTTTGTGTTTGTCCTGTATAGCATTACAAGCGGGCTCTGTAGACGATTTACGTTCATTTAGAACGAGGCGGCAGCCGACCAGGAGGTCCGCTAGATCCGGTACGATTAAGGGACCCATCGATCCCAAAGGTATGGTGTCTAGTAGTTTTTTTCGCTTATAAATTTACAATTTAATTTTTTTCGTCTGAAATAGTCGACGTCAACTCATAATTTTCCACTTGTGTTTTTCTCTGAGCAGTGCGATTCGCCCAGTACAGAACCTCCCCGCAACAACAACAGCTCCAGCTTCAGCAGCAGCAACAACAACAACTCCTCGTGCTGAAACCGCTGTTCTTCGAAGTGCCCCAACAAGAGTCAGACCCGTTGTTCCTTGGCCGTGAGTGGCTGGTCCAGGACATTAGCAGAGCGATGCTTCACGCCCAGTCGTCGGGCGTCGCGGTGACCGGGCTGCCAGGCACGGGCAAGACGGCGTTCGTCCTGCAGCTTGTCGAGCACAGCTGTTTCGGGCGCCTGAAATTGAATGGTAAGCGCAGTTTTAGCCGATTGTCACATTGTGGGGTTTGCATTTCTCTAAAATTTTCGCGTTTCGTTGTTTCCAGTGTCCGACGTGAACGCGTCTCAGTCATCGATAGTTTCTGAGGACGTCAAATCCCTGGCCTCGCGAGTGGTCGCTTACCACTTCTGCCAAGCCGATAACAACAGCACGTGCCTCATACCCGAATTCGTTCACTCTCTGGCGGCCCAGCTGTGCCAAGCACCCCAGTTGAACATGTACCGACAACACGTGTTGACAGAACTCAACCTTCAGGTGAGATGGTAAAAAAAAACAACCAAAATCGAATAGGTTCGTGGTTGAATGTTTTTGTAAAGTCAAAAGTTGGATAATGCATCAACATTTTTAAATTTAATCATTTATTCATCATAATATTAACGATATATCTACAAGTATAAAAATGTTTTGTTTATTATTATTATTTTTTTTGCACGTTTGTGTATAGGTACTTTCAAAAAACTAACATTATTTTGAGCCAACTTTCACCTTTTTATTTAATTAATTTTGATTCATATGATATCACATTTGTAGCGGTGCGTGAGAGTAGTTATAATTAATCTTACACTTTAGGTAGGAAAATCATTTAAAATAAACAGAAAGCAAAATATAACAAATTACCGTTTCTGTCGATAATATATTTTTTCCAATTCATAATTTATGTCTACACTAAGGCATTATGATAAAAAAAGAAATGACATTATTGATATCAAATTGACTTTAAACTATATCTTTATACACTTTAGATAGGTAATAATATTATATTCTAACTCACTGCGTTACCTGAGCTTTTTGAGCTATGAACAAAAAAACACTAAAAATATATATATATTTCTACGTTTTTTATTTGCTGCAGGATTCGCTGTCGATGCGTGAGTGCATCGTAGATCCCGACGCGGCATTCACGAGAGGTGTCCTGGAACCGTTGAGCGCACTCAGTCGACTGGCCAACACGATCGGCACTGGTGGTCTAGTGATCGTCATCGATGGCTTGTGCGAAGCCGAATATCACCGGCCCGATCACGGAGACACGATCGCTTCGTTTTTAGTGAAGCACATGCCGAAGTTTCCGGCTTGGCTCAAAGTCATCGCCACATTGAGAACCAACTTGGAAGACGCGTTACCACCGTTGCCGTTGACAAAAATTTGGTAAGTCACCGCCTGGCATAGTTTTTGTCATTGTAATATGTATATTCATACTAAAATTATTTACGGATATAGGTAGCCCTTTTTGTTTATGCACATATTCAAGTACTTTGATATTTTCGAGTTTTGTAGTTGTTTTTAGATTTTTTTTCGACCTGGCCTTTTTTTCTGTATTTTACGACACTAAAACGTAGGTTATTATTGTTTTGGTTATCATTTTCTGACTTATTTTTAAATTAAACTAATACCGTTTTGGATTTCATTTGCTTCGTAGGTTCAAGCATACCTATATGTATTATATTTTTCAATTAAATTTTTTAGTGAATATTTGAGAATTTTTTTCAACGCATTTAAATTTTAAACCCGCTAGATACTTAACTATTGACTAGGTATATTTAATAATATTATGTCGGTTGATAAACCTCGAAACTATTATTATTTCGTTATTATTTGTATAATAGTGTGGACGTAATCTCTGCGAATAAAGAAAATGTGATAAAAGACATGATGGACTACATCAGTTTCCGAGTTACCAACAGCGCCAGTATTCAGAACAATTTGATAGCCGGCACAACGGGACAGCTGAAGTTCTGCCAACACTTGCAAGCCGCCAGCGACGGGTCGTTTCTTTTCGCCAAACTCACCTTGGACCTGATCGAAAGGGGTCATCTGGTGGCCAAGTCCCAAAGCTTCAAAGTGTTGCCGGTCACGCTGGCTCAGATATATCAGCTCCATTTCAACCTTAGGTTCCCGACGACCAGCTCGTTCGAAAAGGTCGCTGACATTTTGAGCGTATGCCTCGCTGCGCTCTACCCGTTGACGATTTTGGAAATTTACTATTCTGTTAACTCTCTGAACGTCGACGAATTCGTTTCGTGGGAAGCGTTCTTGCAGAGGTTTAAGGTACGTCAGAAACATACTTTTAGTGGAGAACTCCGATATTAAAATGTTTTTTTTTTACACAGTTGATTTCGGGACTGCTCATAAAACGACTGGACAACACTTATATGTTCTTCCACCCATCGTTCAGAGAATGGCTTATGAGACGCGAAGACAGCGAGTCGAAGAAGTTCGTGTGTGATTTAAGGTCAGTATAATCGACCCGTTTTGTGATATCTACTTTTAGGTACATGGTTTTAATGCTTGTATTGAAATTACATCATTTTAAATTTAAACATTTCGAGTATTAAAAAAAAAACTTATTTGCTTGTTTAAAACAAAAATAAAATACATAAAAAGATATTCTCCGAACTCAATTATTATTGTAATTGGATCCGCTATAAAGTAATAATGGTTCTCTTTCTTATAATATAATTTAAATTTTCTATACAAAGCACGTTATCGTGTTTCGAAATATAATAATATAGACACACAATATTTATTGGTATAGATATTAGTTTATAAAATCATTTTTTTATTTTGCGCATAATAATGTGTGAATCCGTTTCCTACAATTGAGTGTATCGGTTTTTTACTTTTATTTTTCATCGCAGAAACGGACATTCGGGAATCGCCTTACGGTTTTCAAGACTCCAGGCGCCGCTGGACAGCGAGAAGACTCTGGAACTGGGCCATCACATCCTGAAAGCCCATCTGTACAAGAACGTGACACTGCGACCTCTGGATGGCGCGTCGTCCAGGGACCTGCAGGCCAATTGGTTGGCGTCCGTGTCGAGCAGCGTGTCGTCCGCCTTGTGCTCCATGCGCAACACGTATGCGCCGAACGTCAAAGTGTCAAGGCTGCTGTTGCTCGCGGGCGCTTCGCCGGACGTCCGGACGGACATGCTGGGACGGGCGCCGGCCATTTGCGTTTACGCTCACGAGGGCGTCTACGACATGGTGGCGGTGCTGTTGGAGTTCGGTGCCTCTGTGAACGTGTCCAACAGCCAAGGACGGACGCCGCTGTGGATGGCCGCCAGCCGGGGTCACATCGATGTGGTCAAACTGCTGATCGAGGCCGGAGCGTCGCCCGGGCTCACGGATTCGGCTGGCAGGTGAGTCGTTAAAAAACAATTAGAAAATTTAACAGAAACAGAAACCGGTAATCCAAAAAAACCGAAATAGAAAACTGAAAACATAATAATTCAATATACGTATTTTACAAAATATAAATTTAGTATGTAAGACCCGATTATATATATAAATTAAATTGCATTTGAGTTCATAAACAAGACTAGTACACTTTTTTAATTTTCAATTCTGAATAATATGGAAAATGGGCACCGAATATGCACGTAGTTTTTTTTATGAATTTTTACAATATATTATTATTATATTTATTTAACTACCTAGGTATCTAATAATTTAAATAAATGCAGTAAAAACTGTTAAATAAAATACACTTGTACATTAAACAAATTTTAAGATGCTTTGCTGTACATAAATACTATGCAGACTTCCAAAATTTAACAAAAATACAAGAAATAATTGAAAACTGACCGACTTGATCAAAGCAGATGTAAAAAAAAAAGTTTTCGTATTTCGGTCTCTACATAACCCTAAATCATTGTAGAAAATCCAATGCGTTTCGCTTTCACTGACCTAGACTTTTCTTTATTCTCCTCTGCAACAGGTGCCCGCTAGTAGAAGCCGCAAAAAATGGCCGTTTCAACGTAGTGGCATTCCTGTCGGGCTGTGAGTGGACCGTAACTGACCCTAGATCGGAAGTCGACCACGCAGATGCCTCGCAGCAGGCCCTGGTCCAAGCATCTGGATGCGGGGTGGACGACGTCGTCGAATATCTGCTAGACGTGGCTGAGGTCACCGTGGACGGGCAGGACAGCCTGTCGGGAGAGACGGCTCTGACTCTAGCATCGTCCAATGGTCACAAGTCTACTGTGGCACTGTTGATCGACCGTGGCGCCCAGGTGTCATCAGCTAACGTGAAGGTAATTACCATATTCACGACCGCAACTGTCGGTTGACACCATTTACTTACCATCGTTTTTGCCATACGCAGTGTATGAACGCCCTGGCACTGGCTGCTCGTGACGGCCAATGGGAAGTGGTCGAGACTCTATTGCACAGTGGCACCCACGTTGATATTGTCGACTCTGAACAAAGGACGCCATTAATGATGGCCGCGTCCGAGGACCATTCGGGTATCGTTGAACTTCTCCTCGACAATGGTAAGGACTCATTTTCAGAATTTGTTCCTTTTCTATGACATTTTTATGAGTTATATCGTTATGACTTATGACAGAATAAACTCAATATATGAGGGTTGGATTAGGTTATACAAAATAAATATTTAATTTTGTTACTCTACCGCCAGTATTGGTATTTGTGTACTCGAAGTTAGGTACTCATCTCCAGAAGCTTTTTATTCCACATAAATAATAATATCTATTTTTCTAATGTATCTACTTTGAATAATCACAAATTAATATATTCAAAATGTCTACATACTATTAAACAAACTCTATGGTTGTTGGAAATGTTCAGTTTTTACATTAGAGTTTGTGAATTTTATGACTCAAATGATTAGTATAATGAATCCTTAGTAACGTCGTTTCAAAACTATTGTTACCTAAACATATTAAAATCAAAAAAAGTAACCCAACGAGTGTACAATTCTATGTTGGGGTTGTTATTACACAAGTAAACAGTTTATAATGACAAAAGAAACAAAAGTTTTATCTAAATTATGCATCATAAATATTGTCAATTTAGTTATAGGTATAGCTAGTGTATATATTATTTATGCTCATTTCTAAATTTATACACACCACAATTATACCATATTTTAAATGCTATGATTTTATAAATACATTAGAATATTTATCAGTTTTTCCATTGAATACCTACATTATTAGTGCTTTCCGTATTACATATTTGTAAATCTATTTAATTTGATTTTAAACTTAATAATTGTATAATGGTTACTTTTAATTTGTTAAACAAGTAGTAAATATAGGTCTATAGATAATAAGTGTAGATTTTGTACTAGTTGGAAGTATATTATATTGTATGTTAATTGTATGCAGGTGCTGATTTGAGTGCTGAAGATCGCCAGGGACAGACTTCATTGAGTTGGGCTTGTCTGAAAGGACGAGTAGCTATTGCACAATATCTACTAGATCGCGGAGCACCCATCGATCATGCAGATAAGTCAGGAAAAACTGCTCTTGATTTAGCAACTTTAAACGGAAATCCGGCCTTAGTACAGGTAGGGATAATATATTAATACTATATAGAATAACTGTCAGATAAAAATGTTTAATAATGTTGTTTTTCTTATTAGCTTTTATTAGAAAAAGGTGCATTGATTGAACATGTCGACCTTTATGGAATGCGTCCTTTAGACAGAGCAATCAGTTGTCGAAATGTACCAGTGGTGCAAAACTTTTTGAGAAGAGGTGCTAAGCTTGGCCCGACAACATGGAATATGGCATCAGGAAAACCAGATATAATGTAAGCATCATTTTTTCAATTGTCTCATGCGTTTTTTTAGAAATTGACTATACAAATTATTTTGTAGGTTGGTTTTGCTCAACAAGCTTTTGGAAGATGGAAACACATTGTACAGAAAAGGAAGATTAAAGGAGGCCGCCTATAGATACACGTATGCTCTGAACAAATTTCCACCAGAAAACGAACTAGACTCGACGTTTAAACAACTTCAGATTAACTTCTATCTGAACACTTCACGCTGCAAAAGGAAGTTGAACGTAAGTATATCGTTTTTGTGACACATGCATTATCAAGACCTTAATGCAAAATTGTTATTGTAGGAAGTCCACGAGTCAGTTGAGTTTGCAGAAAAAGTATTGAAAATGAAACCAACATCGTTTGAAGCGTATTACGCCAGGGCCAAAGCTCTAAAAGACCTGAGGTATGTGACTGAAAAAGAATAATAAAATGTTATGGAAAATTATCATTTTTTTTTTTTTATTAGGAGATATGATGATGCATTAACAGACATTCAAGAAGCTGTGAGACTGGTACCGTCTGGAAATTCAGACATTAGACATGTTCTGTTCAGACTCAAGGATGACATACAAAGCAAATTAGCTTTGGACCATACTGCACTCAATCAAGAGATCGCTGGACCTTCCTACCTCTGAATTGATGACAATGTTCCTAACGACAACGTAGATAATTTTTCCTAATGATTCGATTTTTTTAAGACAACTTTATGTGGTTTTCCATAATTATTTTAAATGCATTATTTAGAAACGAATCGTCATGTACGTACTTAATGATAGGTTAACTAGTTAATCAAAAAAATTTTAAAAATATTAAATTATATTAAATTAAATTAAATATTCAACAACACATTGATAGTGTGTATAAAGATAACTTGGCGTTTATGACAACAATTATTATTATTATTATATTGTTTTTAAAACTTAAAATGATATTATGCATTTCACAATTGTTTTTTTTATTAATACATTTATTGACATTGTTCCTGTTTTTTTTTTTTCTTTTTGTTAATTTACTAATTTATGTAATGTGATGTTTATTTCAATTCGAAATATCGTGATTATGGAAAGACGGAAGAGTTTTTACTAATCAATGAAATTTACGTGCAATCATGTTACTAATTTTATTTATATAGCTTGTTTTTTTTCGGTTTATGGAGATAGTTTTATTTCTATTTTATACCATTATAAAAGTACCTATTTAGTTTAGCTAGATGTTATTTTTTGTCACAGTTTTTTTTTCTTAATAGAATTTAATTTGTTTTACATGAATATAATAATTTATACAATTTATTATATATATAAGCATGTTTATATATATATATATATATATATATATATATTTTAATATGGTAATAAATTAAATTAATAAAATTGTTAGTTAAAAATTAAAAGCTATTAAATTTTTGTTTTTCAATATTTTAACGTTTGTTATTATTTGTTTATATTCTTATAATAAAATACTAAAAAATTGGTATTTTGCATGTAATGTATGTTTATATGCAATATGCATATAGTATTTGCTAAAACAAAAAAATGTGCAGTAATATTAATATTGTTACTACATTTAAAATTTTAATATAATAGATAATGTAATTTTGATCTTAAGAAGATACGAGCTTAACATATTAGTTATCTCTGTCCATAGTCCAACCCATACACACCATAGTAAGCCCTATAAATGCATTTTTTTTTTTTTAAAGTAAAACTTCTTTACGGAGGGTATCAAAATAGATTAGTGGGACCTTTACGCTCGTGCGACTGTTTGAGTAAGACTCATAGGACAGTCACGATATTTATTTTTATTTGTAGACCAAACTGTGTAAATAATGTAAAAAATAAACGTGGTTATATTGTATCATAGCACATGTGTATATTATGTTAATCGAATTATCAGTATTTACTATTTACAACTTTTAAATGATTATAACATATAGATAGTAACAAATAATTAACATTTATATATTTTTTATTGATTTAAATATTGAGAACTGTCTATACATGGAGGGACTTATCACTTCATTAGTTATTTTCAAGGCACTGTGCTTGACTATATTGATAAATGAGTACACTGAATGATTAATTTGAAGAACGATTTTGTTCTAACGAGTGAACAATATAATGCTGATATAACAAATGTTGTGCTGACATTATCTTACCAGGGAATAGTTTTTGTGCAATATAATTATTGTGTTTTTAAAATTTTAAATACATTTTTGAATAAGTTTAACGAATTCTATGATAGTGTTTAAATAGATTTGCTGTAATCGCCACATAAATCTATTATTAATGATACGTCATGTACGATCGAGTTTTAAAATGTATTTTCTGGCAAGGTATTTCGATACCTAACAAAAGAATAGATGTGCAAAAAATGTCAATAACATTAAAAGAATTTAAATTGCATATTAAATGTTCGTTTTTTTTTTTTTGTTAATGTTATTTTGCTCCTACCCTCGCCATTTGAAAGTATTTTTTTCCCTTTAAAAGGAATTGTTTCTGTTACATACAAATGTATAATGAAATGTAATTTTCCAGTAAAAAAAAAAAAGTACTAAATCAGACATACATCCATTATAATAGACTCTTGTCGACGTAATTAATTTGAGTGTTGTTTACACATTCTTAATTCGAATCCACAAAAAAAAAAAAAATCAAGCATTGGTTTACTACACCATTAATACTTAATAATAATAATATGTATATTTTTTATTTCGACCTCGTTGCTTTTTAATGATCACTTTCCGGACTTTGTTTGTTGCATGTCCATGTATACAGTCTAAGAAGTAGCCTGCAGTGGTGGACGATTTATCTACATATAACTAACTTATCTCTATGAACTTAAGTATTTTCGCCACAAGCAACGTTGTCAAACGTTATTATATAGTCTTATTAAATGTCGATTCTCTATTATTTTACATTTTAAACTTGTGCTCGGGAGCATTTTTATTTTACAGATCCATGTGACTCAGGTTTTTATTTTTATTCAGCGAAAATTTGTGCAGACGCCACGCAGTTAGTTTCGGTGTCAATATGTTTCTGAAGACCTATGTATGAGTAACACTGCAGGTGAGTAATTAAAAGCTGCGAATTAAATCCGAATTTTAATTCCGGACAAAAAAAATGTGGTTTTATAGTGTGACGTTAATTTTGTGAGTGAAATAAAAAACGTTTGGATCTTTTTTTCGTTCTCCGATACTGCAACGACGTATTTTTTACCCCCTCGTCCTTTCGCATTTTGTTCGTTTACCGGGCCAATATAATTAATGTGTTTCGATTTTTTTTGTGCGACGGCCCATTCTGTTTTTTACGAACGCCGATCGATCGGTCTACATTTTGTATATTCGGTGTCGTTATAAACGTTTCTAAAAAAAAAATAAAATAATACTCACACTCACACATGACCGAAATAGCAGGTAAGCGGACATTTAGAAGTTAAAGTTTAAAAAAAAAAAACAGAATTCCAAACGAACTATATGCAATATGTTCAACGAATAAGTCTATATGTGTCTAAGTCACCATATCTTGCATATAATTAATATTAAACACGGTAGTATAGAATAAGCCGTTTGGTATAAATCCACGAACGCACATACCTCTACGCAACATTTTAAAATTACTATAATAAACAGAAATAGTAGGAAAAATGATTTTATCCTCTCAATTATTTTTAAAATCAGAGTTATAATTTTTAAGGAAACTTAATTTTTTTTCTAAATATTGTACCTAATATTGTCTGATCTATACATTTAATAATACTACTACTTATATATTTTAAATATTTTGAATTATTTTACATTTACTGAAATAATATTATTTTTCAGCAATTCGTAATTAGATTGGTATTGTTTATTATAATTTCATCTTTATTATACTAACTCTGAACTTGTACTATGAGAATTCGATATGGTGAATAACTGTCTAGTAATCGTTAATGGATGAATTAATGATCAATAAAGAGACATTCTACGACATTAGGTACCTAAATTGCCTATTCACGGCGCCGTGTTACCGGTGGCTAAAAAATAGTTCTAGGTCAGACTCAAAGGCCATGATATTACTATGTTTATGCAGTTATATAATATATGTAGTTATAAAAATATCAAATTACTGTTGAAATTATAATAACCGCCTTGGACCTATACAAATATTTCATACTGTCATAAGACATTTTAACAGAAACGATTAGGTATCACATATTATTGTCCTCACGGTGACAATCTCTTTTAACATTTAGGCTATCATGGTATTGTTATACTACTATTGATATTACCTGACAGGATACCAACCATCAGGGTTTATTATAGTGTCATACTATCACCCATATTTAGAATGTTATAGTTGTAGGTATTACTTCAACATTTTATTGCATAATTATTATTGTGGCTGTGTATTATAATAAGTATGTAAAATATGTATTGTATATTATACAGAAATAACTAAATTTTTTTGTGATTATGACAACAAGTATTCCATATTTTTAACCTGTTTTTGAAATAGCATTATTTTATATACTTAACATTTTTTTTTTCAAATAAAATACCATGGGACAATCTGATTCCCACAAATCCGCCTTTCTGTACGCTTATTATACACATATATTTGAGCTGAACATAGCATGTACATAAATAGTGATATCAATATAATACTATCCACTACCTACCTATATTATATAGATGAAGCGCACCTCTATTTGCATATTATATCGGATGGCCTACTTTGAATAATTTATAATATACCACTTTTGCATGATATTGACCGTTGACGGTTAACACATAAAATATACTACCGAAGGCGAATCGACTTTTTTCAAATATAAACTAATTTTTTTAATTGATTTCAGTTGGATGGGTAGGAGCCTATAAATATAGATAACATATACTAACAAGTAACACGGTTATAATAGTATGTGTCTTTCCTTGTCGGTCGCCGCCTTTGACTCTTAATCCTTGGGGAGACGGATGATGCGTTTCGTCGGCCTGGAAATGATGAAGTTCATAGATATACATTATACGTACTCGTTAAATAATCTAGCTGGACTTTCATTACACTTTTGAAGCACTGTTAGATTATGGTAATACGCACTTGTGGACGAAGATGACGCTTATAATGGTTTGATGAAAAATCAGAGCATAATCAGGTCAGTGACGACATCATCGTTTTCTAAAATACTAATAATGACTAACGACATTAATTTTCACGGTTAGCCTCTCTTGGTTTCATGGTTATACTGAATACAACGCAAACCATGGTTGGTTAAATACTCTATACCACAGTTGAAGCGGTAGACATTATACCGCGGTTAAGTGACCGCCGCGCCGCCGTCCAGATTTGAGCCGTTTTTGCACTATAACATGAACCACGCGTGACTTTCCAAAAAATTATTTTGAAATGTAAGTATGATAGGTAATTTGTTTACGTGTGAAGTGATTCAAGTGATTGAGTTGAAGAACTGAAGGCAAGTGGTTACTATAGTTTAACTTTAACGCCATAGTCAGGTTTCCACTAAAGATGACCAATAATTGAAGGGTGGAAATGCAAAAGGTGGTATTGCCAAACATTTTGAAATTGAGTTAAACATCGATTCTGAATGGAAAAAATGCGGTTATATCGAATTTGTGGTCAAAATTAAACAACAT